TTTTACACATGTGCTTAACTCCCATTAACTTCAATGGGTTTTAAACATGTGCTTAACTGCTTTCCTGAATCAGGGCCTTAAAATGATTTTCTCAAATTCAATACACTGTAAATGCAAGTTCTCCAAATTATAGAAAATAATTCCTTTGTGAACCCTCATCCCGGGTCACTGCTCAAAAATTCCTCCTACAATTGGCTGTAAGGCTGGCCTTATGATTTCAGGACCTTACACTTCATAAAGAAAGCCAATTAACTGCTTCCACCTCCAGTCCTGCCACTGGAGGTGAAGTTAGGGAGGTCTTGTCAGAAAGATATTTACTCTCCCACTGATTTTGCAGCTGGAAATAGAAAGAGATAACTATCCTGTGGATGGGAGTGTTTCCATGGGATGTGGGGCCTCCAAAAAAGCACAGCCCCAAGCAACCACTTGCCTGGATTGTAATAAGGCTCAATACTGACTTTCCAGTTAAGATTCAAGTTTGCTTAAACTTTTTTCTGTATAAATAATGAGCAATAATTGCCCTCATTCACAACCACACCTCCCAATTTACTCAGTATGAGTTCATCACATGAGGCTATATCAGACAACCAAATTTTAAGCAGAATTCAGCATGGCTAAAAAGTTTTGCTTGAAAATTCATGGCACGATATGGCCTATGGCATGGAGGCAGGAACAAACCCTTCCATGTGTGCAGTATATGTTTTGAGATTCTAACAACAAATTGTGTTTATTTGTACCATTTATCAATTCACATGGATAGGTGCATTAAAGAATCCAGATTTTGCAACTGAATATTATTTTTTGAAATCATATCTGAAATTAGAAGAAACAAATTGGACTCTGGAATTCTTCCTAATTATTCCAGAAGTTCTACTGGCTTGCTATTGATCACCTTTCATTTCTAAGGCATTTATTTATGTAGTTCCTAATTCAGCAAATAGACAATGTTTTGCTGAATTGAAACCATTGAAATAAAAATGCAAATTTAGTTTGAAAGTATACAAAATTTGCAGTATACATAGCTGGTCATCGTGCCCAAAGAGGCTAATATACCATTAGAAATAAATTATTAGTTACAAGATAAATTAGATAAGCAACATTGCCAACTCAGAGTTGTCTGAAAGGGAAATTTTCATTGATTATTACAGTGCTGCCTGTGTAAAGACTGCAGGATTAGGCTTTTACACCTGATCCAAAGTGCACTGCAGTCAAAGGAAAGATTTACATTGATTTCAGTGGACATTGGCTCAGAACTAGAATATAGGTTGGGGAGCATGGCAATGATCTGAGACTCAGAAAGTTTCTTTTGGATGTTATAAGAACATGGAAACATATAAGAAATATCAGATTTACTTTCATATAAGAATAAGTATTTTTCTATTTAATGATAATAAGAAATTCTAAATGTTACCAACCTCAAAATATTCAGGTTCTTTCCAGTATTTGATATATGAGGCTTTGATGTGTTTTGTTGTTTCAACAGGGAAGGAGCCATAGAAGGTTCTATTTGGCTTTCAAAGAAACATTTTAAATGTTAGAATGACAGAGTAGCAGCCTGATTATAGGTTAAACATGTAAATTGTATTTTATGAAATAATTAAATGAATAAGTCACTAAAAGCAAACTAGAAGGCAAAAAAGTTTGGTTTTACATACCCACTGTTCGTTGTTTTCTGTAGCTGAGCCAGCTCCGGCTTTGCAACTTCCCACCCTAATTCTTAAAAGACAAAGGATGGCATATGGATAAAAACTGAAAATACGTATATGTACTAAATATACTTAGGCCCTCTCCTGCAAACAGTTATGTATGTGCTTTGTGCATCATAAGAAACCAAATGCCACCCACACCCACCTGCCTCAACAGGTGGGGGAAACTGATGGAGCTGGTGGGGAAAGGGACAGTCCCAGCAGTGAGGGAGGGAGACACTTGCTGAAGGACACCAGGTACCTCCTCCTGTGCTCATGCCCTACTGAAGTCTTTGGTACCCCTTGGCCAGTTGGAGGGGAGGGACACCGACTGGCTCACATCCCTCAGCTTCAGGGATATAACAGGGAGGATGAGCCATGTGAAGCCTCTTTTGGCTCCATTCCAGCAGCCTCATCCTGAACTAAGGAATCCAGCCTGACAGATGCTGTGGGTCTCACCAGTTGCCCATTTGGGGTCAGGAAGTAATTTTTTCTCTCATAAGGGTCAATTGCCAGAGGCACAGAGAGCTTTTTAGCCTTCCTCGTAGTACCTCCAAGCCACAGTAAATTAGGCAGAAATGCACTTAGTATCTAACAGAGATACTTGGTGGAGTTGCTAATTCAACACAACATGCAGACGGTTTCCAGTGCCATTAAAAGGATAAAATAAGGGTTCCAAGAGGTAAAAGACATGGGATTTTGCTGATGGGCGTTGGGCTCATGGGATAGGGTCAGACGTTGTGGCTCATGTGGGTGGAGGCCCCCGCCCTTCTGCACTCTCTGTCCCCTTGATGGAGGGGTGGGATTGGTAGGTCTCAGAGCAAGATGAGTCATGATGGGGGAGGGAAGGTAGGCCGAGGAAAGCGTAGCCCAAGTTTATGGGTTATTTGGTAGGAGTCTGTAACCCCTACACTGGAACAACTTAAAATGCCTGGTATATGAGAATATGGGTGATGGGTGGGTAGCACACCTCCCCTGTGTTTAAGTTTAATAAAATGTTTCACCCGGCCATTTAAAATCCATCCATGTGACTGTCTTCATTTCACTTCTGTGTCCAGATCAGTGGGGAATTTGGTTGATTGATATTACACAACTTTTTTCAAAAGTGAGTTTTAATTAACCTTTTTTTCTAACTGATGTTTAAGCTACCAGTTTTAGAACTGTCTGTAGTAAGCACAAAGAAGTTTTTATTTTAAGCAGTAATTGTAGGGATAACAATGATGACAATAAATAATCCTGGCAGAATTCTATGTCAGAGCCTTTTAAAAACACAGTATTGGGGACAGGTTATTTCTCTTTTACAAGACTACAATAGCACACTGTAAATGTTCCATCCTGTAACAAGGACCTTGAATTTCTATTGAAACCACCCAACACCAAAAGGTCACCATTTCAAGAGGCATTTAAATGCCAACATGCTACTTCATTCTCTAAAACAGAAAAAAGTCAACTTCCCTGCAAGCACACATTAAAAGGGCTTAATTATACAGAGGAGAAAGAAACTTACTGTGGGACAGAAAAGAGTAGAACATATTTTTCTTTCACAAAATGAATTTTTCTACAGAAAACTTAAAGCTTGCTTGTGAGCTCTAGATAAAGAATGGCTAAAACTTTAAAAAAATGTTGTTATAAAGTTAAAATTAAAATTGCCTTAAATGCTGTGTTTTTTTTAAATCTTATTTACCAGTTGTTCTAGCAGAAAAGTCATAACTATGAGTCACAGTGCTGGTACTTGGCTCATTTTTAAGTGGATTTGAAGTGAGCGGCTGTCTGGTTCTTTTTTTCTGATTGAACAGTGGTACAGGTAGACAACCTAAATATAAAATAACTGTATCATATACTGTTGGAAAGCCATGAAATCCTTCTGGCTAAGGGATACACAATTTACATTTTCCATTCGTAAAATGGGTAAATGATAATTACTTAATTAACATTTCTATCCATTATTATTATCTTTATTATTTATTTTATATCACCTGAAGGTGTGGTACTTCATAAGGAAGACAAGGGAAGAGTTTACAATCTAAAACCCCAGTCCTGCAAACACTTGCACATGTGCTAAACTCTTCACTCTCTGAATGGTTCCACTGAATTCAACATTACCACTATGACCTCAACCCTCCAGTAAGGTACATATTTAGTGGAACTCTATTTGAGCACAGGGGACTGGCTTAGTAGGAAGTGTTTTCAGAATTGAGTAAATACATTGATAAAATGATTTTCAAATTGTACAGTCATAAAAAGTATTTGATACCTGCTGTGCTACGAGATGAACTGTCACTTAAATTTCTCTTCATTTCTTTCACAATATCCAAATATCCAATAATTTATTCACTATTCCAAATTCTCCATGTGAAAGTTATATTTCAATTAAATCTGCCTGTAGGAAAAAAAAAACTAATTCACATTATAAATATAACTAAAGTACATGCAGCTTTTCATCAGCTTCACTTCATTATTTGTGTAACAGTTTATGTATATCAATTTAGGCACATTCTTAACTTTACTTGTGTGAGTAGTCTTATTGATTTCTGCGGTACCATTAATGTGCATAAAATTATACCACATGAGTAAGACTTTCCAGGATCAGGGCCCCAGTTATTACATTTTTGAAGTAAAATAAAATATTTTGCATAGTTACATCTATTTTGGTCCAGGTTTATTATTAATAAATTTAAACGTTCTAAAAAATCTTCCCCTTTGAAATGAAAACAAATTATAATTTTCAATTCAAAGGGTAATTTTGTATAAGTCCCTGAAAATAGGGAATTAAAATGAAAGTGATGACTTAACCATAACTTTAACATTGTTATAAAGTGTGGTGCTATAATAAACCCTGAAAAGTTAATTATCAAAATGGAATGCCTGATGGTTAAGAATAAGAACTGAAGGTTTAACTATTTTATGAAAAATAGTGCCACTGCACCCATTGCACACGATATGAAAATGAAAGAGATAAATTTGCTGTTCTAAAGAATACTGTATAGGCCCCAAACCTTTAAACACTTCCCTTTTGCAGCAGGCATTTGATATGACCAGAATCCATCATTATAAACTGGAGATTCTGTGGGAAGAATTAACAGAAATTAACTTTTAAAGTACATTCACATTTGACAAACACGAATTTTTATTTGCCATGCTTCCTTTCTGAGTAATCCATGACAGTATTATAAGTAGAAACAGTGAATATTTTATTCCTAGACCACACAGTTTGAGCTGCTATTCCATGTACATCATTTCACTTTAAATGTTTAAATGGCTTTAATCCCATCTGGCCTGGTGTCATATATTTGTGCACATAAAATCACTATAACAGAGTAATTACATTTTGCTCATTTCTGGATGTGATAGTTACATGAATTTTGTAAAACTTTTGTAAAATGATATGCAATTGTGGTACTATATAAGCAGTGTTGCCAACTTTCTTCATTTTATTGTGAGTCTTGAGATATTGGGCTTTTTTATTGAAGCTTCACCTACTGGAATCAAGAGACTGCATGAGAATCACAGCTTTCATTAAATAAATAAATAAAAGTATGTTTCTAGCCCTGGGTGCAGAGAAAAGCTTGAAAAAGTGAAGCAAGTCCTATATACCTTAAAGTCTCAGAAATCTAAAGAAAAGTAAAAAGAACCCCAAATTTATTATTTTTTAATCTTATTATTTTTAACCAATATTGTCATTTTGGGGGTCCTGACTCATAATTTTTTAAATGTTTGAATTTACAATTGCCATATCTGAGATACAAAAAAAGAGGACTTCCATAAAACTGGACAGCTGACAGTGTTTACTGAGTACCCTTACAGATTTCCCAGGACAGCTACCTCAAAAAAGTTATGATCCTGGGAAAACCTGGACAGGTAGCAATGCTACTTGGAGTTGGCCGTATTGTATAGGGGCTGATCCAGCAAAAAAATATTCTTGTGTGTTTATAGAATGGAGACCTTAATGATTACTAAAATTAATAATAATAATAATCACAATTATTTGCCCCGATTCTTAGCATATAAAATGCTGAAAATACTTATGTACATGCTTAACTATGATTTGTATAATGTCTTTCATGTTTGTAGGCTCAGAGCCCACCTACCTAATACATAAGATAGACAGACTATATATATATAGCTAATTTATAATCTAGTTTATGTCATGGACATCAATGACAGATGCACATGCATAAATTAGGGCAGAATTTGGCCCTGAGGTCTGTAACAGTTTGTATTTCAATCACTTTTTGGTGGTTCCATAACCCATCAATGAAAAAAAATGTGTGAGATTTGTAAAATGAAGCAAAATAAAAAGCATACAATCCTGTAATTTAATGTTATGGCCTCGGATCTTGCTGTGCTGTGTGTGATTTTACAGTGACTTTTATTTCCTGGAAGTTGAGGTAAAAACGTGTCCACTGCTAACGACTGAGGGACAAGCCCGTGACAGGACAAGGAGCTGAGGAGAAACTGGGGTAAAACCCGTCCCAGGGCTTAGGAAAGCGGGAAAACCCAGCTCCAGGATCAGGGTCTAAGCAGCTGGGCTGAAACTCTGCCCAGAGCTAGTGCACAGGGCTGAGCGAAGGCTGATATCAAGCCCGCCAAAAATCAACGGCTGGAACAAGCGGTTACTCCAGCGCGAGGGGGAGGCGGGAAAGCGCAGACCCAGCGCCCCATTCCGCCGTGCTCGCTCCTTCTCTGCACAGCTTGGGACTGGGGGAGACTGAGGAGGGTGAATGTGTGTGTGGAGGGTGGGGGGCTGTGTCAGGCACAGAGGATAGGAGGCACACAGCCCCGCGGGGAGAGCACAAGCTAAGTAGGGAGATTGGTTGCACAAAAAGAATAAACTCATTTCCCTTTGGATTTTATTGCATCTGGGCTTGCCTAGGGGGCGCCAGAAGCCCAACAGAAACATGCAATAAATCCTCCTGAACTCGAACTATACTGTATAAACGTATCCCCGTTCTCCAGCCTGTGACAGGCTTTCCCCTCAACAATCAGCTCTGGGCTGGATTTCACCCAAGCTTCTTTTCCCCCTTTATCCTCTGAGTGGCTTTTTCTTCAGCCATTAGTTCTGGGCAGGCTTTTACCTCTGCAAGAAAAAATATTATGAAACTAAATGAAGTACCTGGGAACCTCACAATTAAAACAATCACACCCAGCTAAAATAATGTAGATGTGTGTGTTTTTTAGAACTGCCCTTACCTTAAGCTCTGGGTGTTTTGCAAGATAGACAAATAGTATTTCATTAAAAAACTTTAAAAGATGTATAGGGCTTAATCTTTATAATCATCACTTAATAGGGCTACCAATTAAATATAAATGAAGGATTCATTTATTTGGTGGTGAAAAGGTCCAGGTGCCCCAGTTGTCTGGATAGGAAAACCATACCCAGTCTTTACAGTTACAGATATTATTAGTCCTATCATCTTCATTGTAATTTATTTAAGTGTAGAAGATCCACTCATCAGCCTAGTGCAGTAATTACTAGTTCACACAGGGGATACGAGCTAAAGTAGCGGGGTTTTGCCCCTTGCTCCTAGTCTGGCATGAGTTGTGTGCATTGCAGAGGAGTCACTCTCCTCCCCTAAGGAAGGAGTCCTCATTGTTTAAGTGGGGCAACGCTCTGTTCCTGTCTTTAAAGCAGTGCTGATAGGGGCAGTTCTAAGCACTATGATGCTTTAAGCAAGTTGGCAAATATCAATTCCTACCAGGCTGCACTGACCTATACAAGTAGTTACTGAACATTTTGCTGACCCTGGTATTTTGCTTTCAGGGGCAACTATCTGTTACAGTGGTAGATGCAGCCCTAAGTTAATATTCTTTGGAGGCAGTCAAGTTCAGCTTTCAGTCTTTAGGGCAGCCAGTCACTCCAACAGAGAGCATTGTGGGGGAGAATACACAGAGGAACCTCTATAAAATGGTTTAAACTAAATAGCTTTATTATCATTAGTAATAACTTTTCAAAGTCCTCCCAACCCTGCTCTTAAGGCTTTTGTACTGCCGCACAAATAAAAAAGCAATCATTACAGAACGCAAAAACAAAACTGCCCTAAAATGATATTGAAGAAGCCAAAATAAGTGCCTGAATAATTTTCCAGGGATACAAATATAGATGTTGGTGCACAACACAGTAATAACGGATTACATTGTTGTCAGCATCTTAACTCAGAAGAATGAAAACTCTTTAAATGTTTCTTTTTCATTTATGACCACAAATTCACTAGAGTTAGTACTGGGAAACCAGGAGTTAAACATTCTTCGGAAGTTAACTTGCTTTAAGGGTATAAAAGAAGCTTCCATGGCTTTAGTCCTAAACTCATGTTTGGAAATGCACTGTATCTTTTCTATTAAAGCTCTTCTTCTGAGACAAACTTCTTGCAAGTTAAATGAGGTAAGTGTATAAACAATTGCTGTGTTTCACTCTACCTCTTGCAAGGAATTATAAACATCATACATTCAAATATAAAAGAGAAACTGTGTTTACTAGCACTGTGTATTTGGATTTTACAGTTTACTTTCCAAAGTGCTGCACTGTTTAAATTCTATAAACAGGATTCAAAGTGTGAGTCATTTGTTCAGTCACTGTGTAAGTAATAACTTTGGAACCATGACCAAAAGCTATGGGGTCAAAGAATGATACAAAACAGTCTTTTGGTGTAAAATATAACTATTCTAGTTTGTTTAATATATTATTTACTACAGTTATCTTTCTTGAAACTATGTGACAAGTTACTAAAGTGAAGAAATAATACCATTAGGTGTCTGAATAAACATAGTCTATCCAGATTAGTTCACTACAAGGTTTAGTAAATCAGTATGCATAGGCTGAAATTTGAAGTGTAAATTTTATTATGTGAGTACACTTCCAGTAGATTTAATCATGATGTATGAATCCTGTGTTCAGCTTTCTTTTCTTATATCTATAACATATCAAATCTGTCTTAAAAAACCTTTCTCACATAGCAGTGAGGTTTCTGGATGATTGAAATATAAATCCTATATAAATTCTAACAGAAAGAAAGCGAATTTTGACAAAAATTATATTTTATATGCTTGAAATGTAGAGTTCATTTGTATCTCTGTGGTGTGCAGTGAGTCATTACAGAGTTGTAATTACAATTAATACAGATTACTCTTGCCTATAAAAAAGGTGTTTTTTCCTGCTGTGACCTTTTATTCTCCAAGTTATAATATTGTATGGTAAAAGCCTTTAGGAAAGGATGTGTGAAATGTTCACAATAAGGTGGGTTCCGGATAGTCTAGACTTGTAGAAGACCTTATATAATGGCTTGGGATTGCAGGTATAATGCTGGCCATAAAACATTGCCAAGATGCCATAGAACATATGTGACTGCTGCATAGTCTAATTTTCCTCTTTGAAAGTCCTTTGTGAATGGTAGTTATGGTGTATGTATTGGGATTATGGAACAATTCTGAAGTTGGAAAAAGGCAGGTTCTTGACCTCTGAAGATTTTGAGAGGTAAGTACAACTATTTGATCTTATGTCAGCTACATCCATCTATTTTTTGTATCATTAGAATCATAGAAGTTAGAAATGTAAAACACCAATTAGATAATCTGCACTGGCACAGAGGTCCAGGCTAACAGATCCCATTGCAACATTGGGGCCAAGAATATTACACTCTGATGTGAATATATTGAATTTTAATTTTTAATTAAGGCCCCTGCAGTCACTGTTCATTAGTTAAATATGATAAAACTGTCATATATATATACACACACACACACATATACATATACAAACAATAAACACACTTCAAGAAATCCAGCTATACTTGGATACCAACATTTCTTTGGTAGTTGACAGTAATGAGCTTTCAGCATTTTGTCTATCACAATACCTAAGATGTGAAATCATAACGTCATATTTTGTTGTGTATTTTTGCTTACTTTAAACCCATTTCTCTATTACATATTGTACTGGCTATGTGATATAAAACACACATGAAGTGATGCACAAATATACCTGGTACATCCAAATTGAAGTGCTAGCATTCTGTGGATTTTCAATGTAGAATGTGAACATTATTTTAAAGCACAAATTAAAAATTATAT